GTATTTTTTATTAAGGTGTTTTACCACCATTTGCCTTTAATACAGCTTCCAACATTCTTAGATCAGATTCATACAGCTTTGTAATAGTCTCCATTTGAATGTTTTATATAAAAACATCTGTGTGTTGGAGGAGGGAATTGGCTTCTAACATTTGTCTTGAAAACTGTCCACATATAGCAGACAAAGAAAAGATAATCGCGATGTTTGTCTATCACTGTTGCCTACAAATGATATTAACCCCTATATTAATGGGTTTTCACATTATTTTGCCTACACACACTCATACATACACACACACACACACACACACACATATATATATATATATATATATATATATAATACACACGCACACATTCTTCTGTAATATGAAATGTATACATCAAATTACAGAAGATTGAATGATTATTATTATTATAATTGTTCATTTGTTCATTCTTTGGCAGATGCGAAGTAAACAAGCAGAAAAATATTCAGGGGTAAGACTGGTTGTTGGTGGAAATCTGTCTGTCTGTATGTCTGTCTAATTTTAGGTAATATGTTTGCATATTATATCTGTTTCAGAAAAACATTATAAAATGGAATAAATAAAATGCTAGAATAAAACAAAAAAGCAAATGACATTTATGTGTCTTAACTAATAATATCCTTAAAGCAACCCAAGTGCGAGCAGCATATTCTTAAACTTCACAAGTTTCATGAGACTCAATCTTATGTTTCAATCGCCAAAATTATCTTCTTTTGCTTACTGTCCTTCTCCACCCCTTCACACTTTTACATCCGGTCTTGAACTGTGTGAAGTCTGCTTTTCAGTATGAAACCTTTCACACAATATATGTACTATTCCTGTATGCGACCTTTTACATTTTTTTATAATCGACACTTTACACTATATGTACATTCTTAAAAATAAAGCTTCCAAAAGAGGGTTTTTGCAGGATGCCATAGAAGAACCATTCTCGCTTCCCCAAAAAAAACCTTTCAGTTGGCAGTTTCTTAAAATATCTTTTTATTTTGTTGTTAGTGTAAAGAAATTTCCTTAAATCTCAAGAATTTTTTTTTTTTTTTACTATAAAGAACTTATTGTCCAGTGGAAAGGTTTCATGGATGTTGAAGTTTCTTTGTGAAATCTTTATTTCTAAGAGTGCAATGCAACAGAAAATACTGTGTGACCATATGTGACAAATATCACTGTCCTTTCAAAAACCTTTGAAGCCCCACATGTACGCATTTCTTTTTGTGTGTGTCTGTATTGTTGCAGGCTTTCTAATGTTTTTTTTTCTTCTGATTGTTTACAGAAGAAAGATGCCGGCGAAGGGGTTTATGAGGTATTTTTGTTGTGTTGTGGTTGTTCAATACTCTGTGTAGCCATAGTTTAGACCTATCCTGTGTGTATGTGTATATTCTTTATTTGTCCTTTATTGCGTTCCACTGTAAGAGCAGTGAAAGACACACACAAATGAGTTAAACATCATATGTGACCCTGGAGCACACAACCAGTCTTAAGTCGCTGGGGTATATTTGTAGCAATAGCCAAAAATACATTGTATGGGTCAAAATTATAGATTTTATTATTTATGCCAATAATCAGTAAAGATCATGTTCCATGAAGATATTTAGTAAATTTCCTACTGTAAATATATTAAAACTTCATTATTGATTAGTAATATGCATTGCAACTTTAAAGGCGATTTTCTCAATATTTTGATTTTTTTGCACCCTCAGATTCCAGATTTTCAAATAGTTGTATCTCGGCCAAATATTGTTCTATCCTAACAATCCCTACATCAATGGAAAGCTTATTTATTCAGCTTTCAGCTGATGTATAAATCTCAATTTGGAAAAATTTACTCTTATGACTGGTTTTGTGGTCCAGGCTCACATTTAATCTCATACACACAAACACACATTATTCATTTATATCACCACACATATACATATTGTTATTATTCATATTGTTATGCAACTCCTTGAAGGAGTAAAGAATATCTAAATCCTCTAAATATAAGAAGCTGTTATATAGTAAGTAATGTCGTGATAAAGTGCAGCAATTTCATAGCATTTAACTGATCTAACATGACATCTCTGAAGCGTTGTGGTAGATCTGGTGAGCTTCTATTGAAATGGTGCTGACACTGCCACATCCGTGTTGTCCTTCTCTCTCCTCCACACCACAGGGTCTCAAGCCTCACGATCAGGACACATATGAGACCATCAAAATGAAAAAAGGAAAACAATGAGACTCGAGGCAAAAGGAGGAAAGCAAGTTTCTGGACTTAATAGCACGGTCATCTGAAGCAGCTCTCAAAAGAATGTTTTGTTTATACTGAAATAACTTTTGGTAATCACTTACGTCAAGCTTTTTGTTTGCTGTTTGTTTGGCAGGCACACACCAATAATCAAACAGAATGCAAAAGGAACGTATTTTTGTGTGATTATTCTATTTGTTTGATAGTTTAAATGGTTTAGTTTTTACATTTTGATGAATGTGTTTTTGTTTGCCTTTAAACTACATTTTAAGCTTCTAACATGTATACCACAGCTGCGTGTCACCGTTTTTTCGAGGCTAACTTCCTGCTCTAGCTTCAACATGCCACCAACACCACAGAGTCCGAGTCATTTCCTGTTTTAAAGAGTACATGAGTGGTCTGAAAAAAAGTGCATCTGACTTTGACCACAGGTGTGAGCGATGGAAACAGAGCTGTGTTTGGTTGTATATGTGTGTAGGCCTTTTCTTTCCATTGGTTTAATAAGCACTCATATTGTTTTGCTGTGTGGCAAAAATAGTTTTTTTTCTGCTACATGGTGCATTTGAGAAAACTATGAAAAAAAAAAAGATATACCATTGATGGTCAGAATTGATTTACGTTTATTATGAGTATTTAATTAATATGTCCAAAATGTAATTGTTTTGTCCAGTTATGCTTACATGTTTTGCTTTTTTTGGGGGGGCCAGTATCTGTTAGTAGTCAGTGAAATGGTTTCATTTCCTTTCCACAAAATAATCAGTTTTCAGTTCTTACATCAATAGATTTGCAGATAGCTATGATCATAAACATTTAATTGAGTGGTGATGATACACAATCCTACTATTCTTGTGTAATTAAACTTCCAGGTTTTATTTTATTTTGTCAAAATAAAAAAGAATTTTAAAAACTTTTTTTTTGACCTTTTGAAAATGAAAAAGAATAAAATGTTTATTTTTGTGAATTATTTCCTGTTGCTCTCTTTATTATTTGATCGTCTTGTAATGTAATCACATTTACAGTAATTACGGTGACAACTCAAGAGTAAAATTACAGTGAAATAGTCTTTTTTGAGAGAAAAATACTTGGTGTGTGTTCACGGTTTGTGTGTGTTCACTGCTGTGTGTGTGCACTTTGGATGGGATAAATGCAGAGCACTAATTCTGAGTATGGGTCACCATACTTGGCCACAAAAAAGTCACAATTATCTTTTTCATTTTTGAATTCATAGTGTTAATAAACTTCCATATACTGTATCCAAATGAAACATCTACTAAAATAAAAACATGTAGGAAGGGATTGGATTGGATTGTCAATTTTAGTGACTTTAAAATGTTGCGGTTTCCTGTCTGTATGAATGTCAGTGTCAGTGGAAATGAGGACCCATCACATTATGTATGTACAGAGGGCGACCCAGCATGTCTGTTCATTTAAAAATGTGTATATATGGAATTTTGAATGACTGATTTTTCACTAATGATCTAATCCATCCTCAATATTTATCCTTAAAGTTTAGCCTATTAAATTTTCCATATCAACTTTTACTTTTGTCTTGCTTGCTTACTTTACACGTACTTTGTCACTATTAAAATCTATCCTTCATAATCTTAAAATACATCTAGCATTTGAGGATTGCATAATATTAGAAAAGACGTTTACTTTACCTTAAGCAGGGTTAACAATACTGTAGTCAAAATAAAGGTGACATTGAAACACTGGGCATTTTAAACATGGCCTGAGAGGCAAATCAGAAGATGCAAAGAATTTTTGTTTAACCTTTAAATTGCAGGACAACACAATTAGACAAATTCAGATTTCCCTCAGAAACAAATGTAATGGTAAAATGCTTCCACATATGTAAAAACAGGATTTGGTTACTGTACATATTTTCCTGCACACATTTGACATGAACAATCTCTGTAAGAGAAATGTGACTCAACACACTGTACGATCTTTCAAAGCAGTTAGTAGTATATCTACAATGACATAATGCTTTGAATTCAATGCTTTCACAAATGTTTTTTCTCATTTATTACTTGAAGTGCATTTTAATGTTTTTAGATGGAAATGATTGATATAATATAAAAGCAACAAATTAGGAAAATTAAGAAATGAAACTCTGACACTGGGGGATTTCCGTTATGTAGAAACCTACTGCATCTCATTCTGCTCTATAGTTCCCCATTTCGTGAATCAGTGTAACGTGGGGTTTGGATTTTGTTTATTATGTATCTTTATTTCTGTTCAAATCAATTTAGGCTATATATTTTTTCCAATGTCTATATAGGCATACCTAAGGCCATTTCCTTCATAACATCATTGTTTGGGAAATGACATAATTTTTGGTGTGAAAGCAACAGCCTAAGTAGTCTCTCATTCTTTAATTTGTAGGCTAGTCTTAATTTTCATCTACATTTGTTGTGAGTTGAGTATGTTTGTATGCATGTATAAATTACAAAAATCATCAGTGTTCATTTGAGAAGTACCCTGTAAGCATGCCCCTGTGGGGCCCATACTGGCTTTTTGCAGGGCACAGTGGACTAGGGCCAGCCCACACCAAACCTAAACAGGCCCAGTGTGGGCTTGCCCAGGCAAGGCCCACTTTTGGGCTCACCGCGAGCTCTCTGTGAGCAGCCCACAGTAGCAGACTGCCCACATTAATAATCCCATGATGGCCCAATGTGGGCCAGCCCGTTCGGGCCCAGAGCAACTTTTGTACCTTTGGGCCCATACAGGTTTTGTGTAGGCAGCCCTGTAATGCATTGCTCAAACCAAAAGAGACCTTTCCAGAACCTGAGGCTAAGAAGGGTTGTAACAGGTAAGCTAGCATGCAGTTTTAGAAATAGCATATGCAAATTACTTACCACACACAGTGTTGTTTCATATAGGCCTATTTGCTTTTTAGAGGCCGTATAAAAACGTTCCTTTCAGCCAAGTCCTCCTTATTCTGAAGCTGAGAGTGAGATAAAGGTGTGGTTGCGAAATTCAAGAGACAGAGTGGGTGGACGAAAGAAGCGCTACCGCCGTCTGCTGACTAGTTGAGAGACCTTGGGGGAAGAGTGAGCTTAGCACACCAAAACATATTATCTGCAGAGGTTAAAGTAATAATTTGACATTTTTATATTAATTTGTATTATTTTTTTATGTTTGTTGTTACAGCAAACTGACTGCTGGGGGCACCCCTCCCAGCCAGGTGCACCAGGTGAAGCTGATCTACTAATTGGCAGAGCAAAAACAGAGTCAATGTAGAGAAGCAGCAAACTTGCTATTACTTGGACTGAAGCAAACTCTTTTGTGCAGAATTAAGCCCACTAGAATCAATGGAGATGTAGCTGGTGAGCTTTATACTTTTCTTTTGATTGAAACTGTTTTTTTTTTTTCATTATATCATTCTAAGAATGTATTTGAACATTATTGTATTTTTAATGGGTTAAATGTAATCATCAAATCATAAAAACAGTGTATTTACTTTGTAAATGTTTGAATATCTGCTGTCTGTTTACATGGTCTGCTTTATGGTCATTTAAAACCAAGGGTTTAAATCCTGTGTGCATTGATTGTATCTACTTGTGCTTGCTGTTAAAGTGGTGTTTGCATTTGTGTTTAAAGGGTTTTCACCTGACTGGTTGATTGATTGATTGACTGACTGACTGACTGACTGAATGAACACTGCATCGAGCTTACAAAATAAAAAAGGGAAAAGGAGTGCAAAAGTGTGTCAATAAATAAAATCCAGTTGAATTCTTCTTGTAGTGGGCTGTCTTTTTCAAGTGAAAGAGTCCTGCACATTAAGAACCTTGCAAAACCGTGAGGATCAACTTAATAGATCAGGGGTGTCCAAACTCGGTCCTGGAGGGCCGATGTCCTGTAGAGTTTTGCTCCAACTTGCCTCAACACACCTGCCTGGAAGTTTCTAGTATGCCTAGTAAGAGCTTGATTAGCTGCTTCAGGTGTGTTTGATTAGGGTTGGAGCTAAACTCTGTAGGACAGCGGCCCTCCAGGACCGAGTTTGGGCACCCCTGTAATAGATCATTCATAGTCCTTTTCAGAGTGTTAAATTAGCTGTATTAACCTGAATTGAATGTTTTCTATTTTGTATTTAATAAATCCATTGATTTGAAATCCCTTTGACTACTGAACATTTGACAATACAGACATTAGTTATGTGGTGACTGCATCCATTTCAGGCATATACTAACTGTTTTTCCCAAAGACTTAAGTTATAGTAGCCGAGAAGTATTTATAGTGAAACCGATTGATTGTTGTAGATTAATAGAGCGGGCCCTGTGTGGGCATAGTCAGAGCTTCCTGGGGGCTAAGTGAGGGCTGCCTGTGCAGGGCCAGCACTAAGGGGCCAACGTTTAGCCTATGAGCAAAGTCTCAGGGTGCTGTCACACCTGCAGATAGATTGCTTTGTTCCGAAAAGGGGATTACAATTATTACAATGTTGCTTGTTAATACCATAGACATAATAAATACCTAGACGCCTCATTGGCCGCTCGACCGCAGGTCAACGTCGCCGCCATATTGGTGAAGGCAACTCTCGTAGTTGAGAGAAGACTCGGCGGCAGCTTGGGCGTCTACAAACCGTCGCACAATAATACAAACAGATCTCGGGGTATTATCTTTCACAGGTAAGACTGAACAGTTGTTTCTGTATGTATTTTAGCTTTATGTTGACAGCTTAATTAGCCACCAGTGTCAGACTATTAATAGCTAGCGATATCGCTAGTAAGCTGTGAAAGCTGAGACTTTATATGAAATCAAAGTTTAAATGAATTCTTAAGTTTTAACTTTTGTAGTTTATATCATAAATTAAATTGTGTTATGAGCACATTCTGTACAGTGAGCACTTTGACGTTAGCCAATTGCAAACAGGACAACGCAAGCCTTAAGGAAAGCTGAAGAAAGCCTGTTCTCTGCATTTCAAAGAGAGTAGGCTATACTTCCACAGTCTAATGTTGTTTTAGTACTAGTTATAGCCCTGAATGAATGGCCAGAATTACCCTGCTCATATTCAAACCACCCCCTTACTTGTTTCTTTGTTTAATAATTATTACACAATACTATTATAAAACTACATTTCATGATTATTTATTTTACTTTATTATTTACTATTAATTAATTCTTCATTATTGTCTATTCTGTATTATGATATACCCTTGATATTACATATTCTACTTGCTATTATTCATCTATTGTTATTCATTTTGGTATTATACATAATTTATTCTATTATATACTGTTGTACTCGCTTTTTATATTATTCACTTTACTACAACTTGTTCTACATATACTTTTTAATATTACATATCACTTTTACTGTGCACTGTATCAGTGCATAATATTTTACCGCTGTAACTAAGTTTTACTGGATCCATAAAGGATTATCAGTTGCATTTGTTATTGTTTGTTGTGGAGTTTCTGTATAGAGTGCTATCAAAATCAAAAGCAGACTACCAAGAGTGTCACTTTTTGATTTGTATTCGCTGTTTTTATTCAATTTTCTCAATGATGGTAAATTATTAGTACTTAAAGATGTATTATTTAGATTTTCTTCCAGTATTTCAAAGGGAATGAGCTGTGTTCTGACCTGAAGCACGAGAAAAGCTCAAATGTTGGGGTTGAAGACAGAGAAAGCAATGAAACAACTTAATTTCATTTAATGTACATTCAAATTACAAAACATGCATGTCACAGTTATACTACATTAACATTAGAATTGTAAACCGAAAAAATCAATCAAATCAACAAGTGAGTTTTCACAATTTCTTACGAAAATGAATAATTTTCCAAACCTTAACTAAATAACTGGAGGCAGAGTTATTTTTAACTCCATGTAGATCACAAACCTCTGAAATGCGTTGATAAATGTAAACGTTACCGTGTTTTTATCCAGAAAAAAACCGCAGCTCCTTTCCGACAACAGTTTGGCGGGCTTTTTTTTTGTAGCTGTCGTTATATTAATTTTATCATTTTGAGCAGGAGTCCAGGATTCATCCGGAAAACATTTTTAAAATGCACCTACTATGAAGAAGAGCAATAAATGGCATGTTTTCTTCTATGGGTGGCAAGAATCTGTCAAAAGATCTCTGGGTTAAAGTTGTGGACTGGCACAAGTCAGGAGATGGATAAAAAAAAATTCAAAGGCCTAGAAGCACAGTGAAGTCTATTATTAAGAAGTGGAAGGTATTTGGTACAATACAGACCCTGGCGAAGACGTGCTCACCCACAGACATTCACTGGTTCATTTTGAAGTATTAGAAAAACAACAAAGCTAATGCTTTTCACGGAACTTACGTAATTACCCATCATACACTGTGATTTAGCCTGGTTCATTGGTCCGTTTGATTGGATTGCCTTCTCACTACAACCAAACCGCTCCAGAGTTCGTTTTCAATTGAGCCGAGCCCCCCTTCAGGCGATCTAGGACCGATTGTTTTGGCGTGGATCGCGATTGCCGTGTTCACATATGCCCAAACGAACCGAGCTAAGCGGGGAAATGTGCCAGGTTCCGAAACAACGGGCCAGGTGTGAAAGCACCGGCTGCAAGGCTTGTTTGCAGGGTAGAGATTGATCTGATAGGTCATCGAATTGCTCTTTTGAATCTTTTCAATGAATCGGGTAAACTTCACAAAACTAGACTCTCAAAAGAATGGGAAACTTGCGTTGATTGTAGATACAAAATGATTCAATTGCTACGATCCTCTTATTAGGGATACGATTCTATTGGGAAACGTAGCCTGGATTGAATGATCCGTTCACAAATTGCACCGATCCGAGTCTCGTGTTCATCTTGCAGATTCGTTTGCAGAGGTAAACAACAAATTGGAGGTCAATAAATGGCTTACTTTGTAGTCTATTGGTCCTGCAAAGTTATCTTATTGCTTTAGGAGACTTGGAATATAGCACATACAGTCAAAAGGATTGCTTTTATCATACATTTGAGTCCTTTTGTAACCTTGAAACCCAGAAGGCAGTTCCGTGTGGAAAGCGGAATTCCACTTTTGTGTTGCTACAGAAGCAAGAATGTCATGTGTCTAAAGTGACAGGGTGAGTAAATGATGACAAATTTAGCAGGTATAGCTTTTAAATATTAACTTTCTGCTAGATTTAGCCACTGAATTAGACGATCCCTTTACAAATTCAGACATTTCAGCAAATGCAAACGATTAAAATGACTCACACACGGGCTGTTTTTGATTGGCTAGTCAGTGTATGGAACATAGATAGTTATGATTCCGTTATGAGACAACAGCTTTAATATCCTCTTAAGAAAATGGTTCTAAATAGTGTCAGATTAGGGTTCTAGGAGATATAACATTTACATAACATTTTAAGTTTACTTTCATTAATATTATTATTTTTTTAAATAGTATTTATTAATATTGTTTTTACTCCTCTATCTGCCTGGTCTTATAATATCTTGTAGCCTCTGTTAGGGATTAACTTTAAAGCAAGCTGTGTCAGTTAGGAACATTTATTTATTTGTTATTGACATGGAGAAACTCTAACAACAGTAACTGAATATATTAATAAATGATAACTGACACTGAACATGAATAAATACATAAAATACATAAAAAAAACACAAAATAGATGCAATAGAAGCAAAAAAAAAAAACTTGAAAAAAAGTCAATTTGAAATGACTTGATTGGGAACCCAGTTACAATTCAATAATGAAGAAGTAAAGAACTCTAAACATAAATGTGTGGAAAAACTTCCATCTTCAGGATGACATCTTTTTAAATAGAACTGTGTTAAGAACCTTTTAGAGTAGTTTTATTTAATGGTATGTCACAGTTATACTACATTAACATTAGAATTGTAAACCGAAAAAATCAATCAAATCAACAAGTGAGTTTTCACAATTTCTTACGAAAATGAATAATTTTCCAAACCTTAACTAAATAACTGGAGGCAGAGTTATTTTTAACTCCATGTAGATCACAAACCTCTGAAATGCGTTGATAAATGTAAACGTTACCGTGTTTTTATCCAGAAAAAAACCGCAGCTCCTTTCCGACAACAGTTTGGCGGGCTTTTTTTTTGTAGCTGTCGTTATATTAATTTTATCATTTTGAGCAGGAGTCCAGGATTCATCCGGAAAACATTTTTAAAATGCACCTACTATGAAGAAGAGCAATAAATGGCATTATAAAATGAAAAAGTATGCTTTGATTTTGAATGGCGAAGACGTGCTCACCCACAGACATTCACAGGTTCATTTTGAGGTATTAAAACAACAAAGCTAATACTTTTCACGGAACTTACGTAATTACCCATCATACACTGTGATAT